CGCCGGGACCCCCTTGCACGGCGCCGGCGCCGCCCCTCCCCCGCCGGGGACCCGCGCTCCGAGCGGCCACGAGCCCGCTCATTGGTTCAGCCAACGCGAGGCGCCCCCCGAGGGAAACGGGTCACTTCCCCCTCTTGCTCCAAGCCATTTCCCCCTACGTTCTTCTCTCTCCAGCTGCGATTGGTGGAGGGAAGCTATGGCGTAGCCTCTCCTTATGCTCCGATTGGCCGTGGTCCCCATCCGTCAGGAAAGGGAGGAGAATTTAAAAAAAAAAAAAAAAAAAAAAGGAGAGGGAGGAGGAATGTGTCCTTCCGATTGGTCACGGTTGAGGGAGGGGGCGGATCCGCAGCCTCCCGGAACGTAGAGCTCCGATTGGCCGCCAGAGCCGCGTGTCACTGGGGCAGCGGGTTGAGTAGCGGCGCGGGCCCTGGCCACGGCGGTTGTGGGCTAGCGTGAAGGCAGAGGCACTTCCTGTTCAGTCTCGGCAACTTCCGGCATGCTCCCGCTCACCTCAGCGCTCCGGGACTGAGGGGTGGCCGGTGGGACCCGCGCCCCTGGCTCCGGCGCCACTAGCCGCGGCGGGAGTGCCCCCAGGGCCGTGCCCCCACGGCGGACCCAGCGGCTCTCCCGCGGGGGCGGGGCGACTGCTGTCTTTCACTTGAAGCCCTGTATGATCCCTGCTGCTCCCAAAGTGTAACGCCTACGGCGCAGCCGCGTTTCTAATCAGGCGGAGCCGCTTGGCTCGGGGATTCGTTAGAATCTTCCCCGCGTTCCACGGCGGTTAACGGCCCGCCCTCCTCTTCAACGGTCTCCACGCGCCACCCCCATCCGCCAGCCTTTCTTTAGGCTCTGGCAGTGCAGGCTGTTTTTCACTCCTAATAAAGTGTCACTTGTTCTTAATTCCACGTGAAACTGGATGATACAGCACTAGGTCCCTAGCCTGGTTAGTCAGTTATTATTTATGAAATGCAAATCCACAGAGCCAAGCGATAGCCTCCTTCTTAACTGAATTTAAAGTTATTAATCCGCCTCAGTTTGTAGAGAGGACTTTGTTTATTTTTTTTAAAGAAATTCTTCTGTGTTCCAACCCAAGTCAGCCAAATCAAGTCTAAAACCATAAGCAGCCCCCACCAGGGGCTTCAGATATTTCCAGTGTCTTTTGGCT